ACTTAATTTTAAACGAGTTCTTGCTAATTGACCAGTTTTACATATTCGGCACGACATATATATATATATATATATATATATATATATATATATATATATATATATATATATATATATATATATATATATATATATATTGTGTGTGTGTGTGTGTGTGTGTGTGTGTGTGTGTGTGTGTGTGTGTGTGTGTGCAAAGAATTCGCAAGAGCAGGCGATATATACGCAAACACTGATCTCTGGCCGAAGGAGACTCGAACCTACGTACCTTGGAGCAAGGTAAACAGTGCCTTACCATTCTCACCACACTGGACCAATACCTTGGCATCCAGCTTGCGCTAGACGTTTGATCCAAGGCAGCCAGCTTTCAGGGAGAAGGCTTACAGCTTTTCATCTCATCCCCTGCATGCATCAGCCTTACTAGAGATTTTAACAATGCAAGGAATTCGCAAGGCATATGATAGAGTGGATAGGGAAGCAATGTGGCAGATGTTGCAAGTATATGGAATAGGTAGTAAGTTACTAAGTGCTGTGAAGAGTTTTTATGAGTATAGTGAGGCTCAGGATAGAGTACGAAGAGCAGGGACACATCTGTCAGAACTGGTAGAGGACGGGGTAGAGGACGTGGAAGGGGAAGTGGAGGAGGAAGACATCTACAGCCGGCTCACCCTCTACTAACACAGTCCCAGCGGCAGAACCTGAGGACAAATCAGCAAAACACAGGAGGTGCAACAAATCATAGTCCACCCTCCCAGGCACCTAGGCAGTGCTCTCGCTGTCACCAGAAGGGGCATACTGCCAACAACTGTCTCCGAGATATCAGGTGCAATTATTGTTTCAAGAAAGGACATCAGTAGGACCAGTGTTGGAAGAAAAAGGAACTTGACAGACAGGACCACCTGTTTAGAGACCTGTTCTCTGAACAAACTAGCAGAATCTCTGAACTGGTGAACACTCTCACATGTCACCCACTCAGCTACTCCTATCTCAGCCCAGCAGGTGGTATTGTACTTTATACAAGACCACAGACCTATATCCCTACAGCTGCCTCAGTACCCTACCTCTCTCAAGGGAAGGCACTTTACATGCCTTACACACCCACTACCTCAAGCTGACCACATCATGAGGAGCCAGTCTATCAGCATCCTGTCGGCCAACATTAGAGGTTTCATTACTAATGTTGGAGAGCTCACACGTAGTTTTGTGTGTTGGAGAGCTCACACATAGTTTTCTGAACACTTGACGTCCCGACATGATAGCTGTTGTTGGAACATTTCTGGACGACACTACTCCAGAAAATTTTGCAAGAATTGCTGGCTATACCTCATGGATGAGAAGAGACAGCAAGGGCAAGGAGGAGGTGTTGCTGTGTGCTTCTCTAAAAGTGTTCATACCCATCACATTGATGTTGCCACCCCAACTCAGCTTGAAATGATGTTCTTCAATCTCTGCATAAACACTAGTACCTCTGTACTAGCATGTGCAATGTACAGACCTCAGTGGCAACATGCAGACCCCATCAACTTCCTAATGGAAAATATGGACTCCCTTCTGGTACAACACAACTGTCAACATATCATAATTCTTGGTGACCTCAACCAACACGTTATACAGAGGGACTTTGATGACCTTCTTGCAGTATTTGACATGAGAAACTTTGTTGATTTCCCTACTCAAATCTCTGGCTCCTCCCTTGACCCAGTAGTGAGTGATCTGGCAGAAGGTTATAGTCACTTGTCAACCCCTCTGCTACGTTGGATCATCTGACCACAAGGCTGCTTTTACTACATTTAAGATCTCAACAGAACGAGGTGAGGAGTCCACACGCACAACCTGGCTATGGGAAAGAGGTAATTGCCCAGCCCTTTACTCTGAGCTCGCCATCACCGATTGGAATGATTTTCTCCTTGTGGATGTTGACAACCAAGTGAAAGCCTTCACTGGACACCTCCTTAATCTACAACAAGAACACATTCCTCACCGGCAATATGTGACGAACCCTACAGATCAGCCTTGGTTTGGATCTCGTTGTAGAGAGGCTGCTACTGCTAATTACAAAGCATGGCGAAGGTATAAGAGACATCCTACCACCTATAACAGGAACTTGCACAGACAAGCCTGTAGGCATATGGGTGATATTCAAAAGTGGGTCATTGCTAAATTGGAGGTGGACACTAAAAGAAAGCTAGCATTAGGTAGAGTAGGCTCCAAAACCTGGTGGTCCCTGGTCAAGTACAGACAAGGTTATCTGCCTGATGAACTCATTCCACTCTAAACCTACAGGATGGGACCACCTCTACTAGTAGTCAAGAGGAGGCGGACCTCTTTGCTGAACACTTTGCTACCAAAATGCAAGTTCCTGATCCAGCAAGGGACCCTCCTTGGCTAGCTGCAAGAACTGTGTCAAAATTGTCAGCGGTGACAATAAGGCAGGAGGAGGTGCATTTCCTTCTTAAATCATTTGACCAAGAAAAGGCTGTGGGCTCAGACAAGTTGAACCCAAGAATGCTGAAAAGATGTGCAGACCAGCTAGCAGCACCTCTAACCCGCATCTTTCAGCACTGCCTAGCACAGTGTAAGTGGCCCTCTCTGTGGAAAGAGGCAAATGTAGTTCCTGTTAAGAAAAAGAAGAGCAGAGCAGATGTCAGGAACTACAGACCAGTGTCACTCCTGTCAATCACTTGGAAGATCCTTGAGACAATAATCTCAAGACAAATGACAGAGTTTTTTGACTACAACTCACTACTTTGTGGCCGTCAATATGGCTTCAGGAAAGGTTACTCTGCTGCTGATCTGTTGTCTAACCTCTCCACTAAGTGGCACCAGTCACTAGATGAATCCAAAGTCAACTGTGTGGTAGCACTGGACATTGCTGGTGCTTTCTACCAGGTGTGGCACCAGGGCCTCTTAGTAAAACTTCAAGCACTGGGAATTGCAGGCTCTATGCTATGTCTCCTCAGTGATTACCTTCATGGTAGATCTCTAAGGGTAGTTCTCAATGGAATGGAATCAGCAAGACATCCTATTGGGGCAAGTGTTCCACAAGGGAGCGTGTTTGGACCATTGTTATGGAATATCTAATTCAATGATCTTCTTCAGCTCATCCCAGAATCTCATGCATATGCAGACAACTGTACACTGACATTCACTTATCCAAGAGAAGAAATGCCAGCTGCTCTAAGCTACATCAATCACCAGCTTGGGGAAATAGATGGCAAGTAACATTTGCACCTGAGAAAAAGCAAATGATGATGGTCTCTAGGCACCATGATGGTAATGCTGGTGCAGTAGTAAGGATGAATGGGAGGGTGTTGGCACCTGGGGAAGAAGTTGATATCCTTGGGGTGAAATTTGACTCCAAACTGACCATGAAGAACCATGTTGTAAATCTTGCAAACAAGGCAGCCAGGAAGCTTACAGCACTTCGCCGTATCACGCATCTGCTTGACAGTAGGGGTTGCAAGATTCTGTACGAGGCACAAGTGCGCTCACGCCTTGAGTATGCTACACTTTCTTGGTTTGCCTGCCCCACCCTCTCATCTGCGACTGCTTGACAGAGTAGAGAACAGAGCAAGACGTCTCATCTCTCTCCTGGACCCATCCTGGATAGATCTGGCATTTCAGCAGAGCCTTCAACACAGGAGGGATGTGGGTGGCCTTACTGTTATGTACAAGGCCAATATTGTCAAAGTACCACACTTGGATCCACTTCAAGGACAGCATGAAACAAGCTTTTATGCCACAAGACGGGCAGAAAGCAGCAACTTCACTCTGGCTGTACCCTTCTCCAGAACATCACTCCATCTGAGATCATATATACCCAGGATGACTTGTGTATGGAACACATTCGTACAGCATAATGATGTCAACGAGACAAAGTCAGTTGATCAAATGAAAATGCTGGCCCACAGATGGCTCCAACTTCATCCTGTTCCCTACTTGTATGTCTCATAACAATAAAAATGCTTTCAAATGAGCTGATGTAGGTAACAGCTCTTAGCTTGCCAATAAATTTAGGAATCCTTAACCTGTAAATAGCTGTCAATAAAGCTAGGGATCCTTAACCTTGTCAAACCCTGTGTAAAAAAAAAAAAAAAAAAAAAAACACAATGAAATATATTTTTTTTTCACTAGGTTCAGAATGATTTTAGCAAAATTATTGTATACACACACAAGTTTTTGCTTGCCTTATTCGGCAAGCCAAACTCACAAGTTTTGCCTATTTGGCACTACTTTCTGTTACAGTGTAATACTAAGCAAATTTAGCATCAATGTTGCATCTCCTGGACATCATCTTTCATGTCCAGATGGTAGATAAAACTCAGGCATCCTACTGAAGGCAGCTCATTAGGGATACCTAATAATACCCTAATACAAATATTAATATTCTCTGCTCAGACGTTGTGCTGAGCGTTTGTCAGCTGCTTCTGCTCAGTCCCGACACCTGGTGGAGGAGCTTTTGATACATCAACAACAATGGCGACTGGTTTTCGCCGGAGAGTTAATACTGTTTGTATTGAACTAATAAGGGGCACAATCACCAGCACATTGATTAATGTGTTAGTGCCAGCAATCGTTCATGATATATATGACATCCAGCGTGAATCCCTGTGTGGCGTCACCTTGAATGGACTTTCCCGGATTTTCATCAAGTTTTGTGAAGCTCAGACCTATGAGCAGATTGTCAACCAGTACCAGGATGTTAGCAAGCAAGTCACCCCAGCAGTCACTGTTAAGTTGCACGACGTTTCACGATACTATACATAGGTACATGTGCGAAACGTGCCTTTTGAGGCCAATGAAGTCGACATAGGTTACGCTTTTGAACGTTCTGGGAAGATCCACCAGGTTACTATGGGTCGGTGGTCTGACGGCCTCTATGCTGGTCTTCAAGAGGGGTCCTTCACTTTGAAAATGTCCCTACACAAGCCAATTCCTTCGTATGTGCACCTGGAGGATTTTCGTTCCCAGGTGTACGTTACGTATCCTAGACAGAGACGAACTTGCCGCCTCTGCGGCGTTTTGGATCACATTGCAGCACAATGTGTTCAGCACCAGTCGCCCTCGGGACGTGGTCGCTGTCCGGACAGTGAGGTTTCCCGTCAGACTCCAGAAGATGAAGTCGTCGAGGACTTGCCGCGCCTGACATCGTGGAGTGCTTAGGTTTGTCTCAGCGTATGGCGGTTTTGGTGTTAGAAAATGTGACATACCCGTAGCAATTAAGGATTATCGACCCATATCGTTAATGTGTAGTTACTATAAATTATATGCAAAAATTTTAATGAATAGGATTAACAAAAGTGTTTGATAAGGTAATCCATAAGGGTCAGTTTGGCGTGCCGGGTAGGTCGATGTATGATGGTCATGGGAATATCAGGGAGTTTATCAAGGAATGCGGAACGAGGGGCGGGGGTGGTGTTTTGGCTTTAGAGTGGCAAGCTGCTTTTGATAGTGTGGAAAGGGAGGTGATGTGGAAGTTCATGAGATGGCAGGGTTTTGGAAATGAGGTCGTCATGTGGGCCCATTCTTTGTACAATGGTGCTGGTTTTAAAGTACAAATTAATGGGAAGTTAGGTGTCTTTGTCCACTTGAACAGGGGCATTCGACAGGGATGCCCTATTTCTCAAATGCTTTTTGCTTGTATGCTGGACCCTTTTTACTGGGCTGTTTGTGGGTGGGGAATAGATTCGTCGTGGGGTTCGAGTAGTGGTCGACCGGACCTTGTAGGTTTTGTTGATGATACTACTGTGCTATTACGTACGAGGGAGCAATTGGGTTTTGCTGGGAGACTTGTTGATGTATTTGGTAAGGCTACGGGGATGTGTGTTAATAGAGAAAAATCGAAGATTATGGAGTTGGGAGAGTGGGTGGGAGAAGGGGTGGGTACAGAGTCGTGGACGGTGGTTGATCGTATCACTATATGTGGTATTCAGTATATGCGAGAGGTTGAACAGACGAGGGCATGTAATTCAGGGAGGGTGGTACATAGTGTTTTGCAGCGTTTAAATAGTCTACAGCCAGGACATTTAACCCTGCACCAGAGAGCAGTGGTCATTAATGTTCTGCTTTATAGTAAAGTATGGCATGTTGCTGCACTGTATCCTCTGTTGCAGGGGGACTTCAAGCGTCTTTTGCATAGAGTTTATAGATTTTTGTAGGGCTCGGGGTGCGATTGACTCACAAGAGCGGTGGTAGAGACACCAATGCATCAGGGAGGGTTAGGTCTCATTCCTCTATGGGCTCGTGTCATAGCATGTTACGTGAAGCATCGTTTTCTCCGACTGGGTGGGATGCATGGTGGGTTAACTGAAATGTATCGCGACCTGCTCAGGTGGTAGGGAGGGAGGGATTTAATTAGGTGCGAGTTGATGCTCTGCATGTTATTGCGCATGTGGGACGTGCAGAGTGTTAAATTATGTACTTTGGAAAGGGCGGGTATGGAGAGAGTCGTGGTGCGAGTTGAAGGAATGTACCCCATGTATGCGTGGAGTGATATATGGAGGCGGGTCCAACAGTTGCATCTCCTTCCTCAAGTATGGGAAGTGGTTTTTAAATTTTTGCATGGAATCCTGCCGTTCGGGGTGGTGTTGAATAATCAGCGTTTAGGGGAAGACCGGGGTTGTTCGGCGTGCGGGGCGGAGGAATCCGCTTTTCACGTTGTGTATTTCTGTGAAGCTTTAGGTATGGTACGTGAGTGGTTCAGTAGGGTTTTGCGATTGGTGGGGGTGATGTTTGTCGGCGCTCAGAGTGTTGAGTTTTGATGGAGGTGGGGTTGACATGTGTGTACAAAGTGCGGTGTCGTACATCGTGGCCGATTATGTTTATGTGTTATGGGCTGTAAGGCACGTTGAAGGTAATGGTAGAATTCGGGTTTTAGCGGGAACGATTCATAGAACAAAGTGTGGAAATAGGTTGGTATATGAGGGGAGATGGGAGAAAGACTTCCCGTCTGAATATAAAGCCTTGGAGTTAAGGGATTTGAGATAGTTTGTGAGCGTTCATTGCGTAATCTAACGGACTGGTCAGCTGTGACTAATTGTGTATAATAGTTATGTGAATGTTTTGTTATCTGTGTTTATATACGTCTCCTATGTGATGTTGACGTCTCTATAACTGTTAAGACTTAATATGTACAGAAGTTAAAAGGTCTTCCGTCATTTATCTCTCGATACAAGTCATTGGTGTATATTGTATAGATGTGTTTCCTACCATAAGCGATTGGTACTTATATTATGTTTATATTTTATGCTGAGTTATAGTGTGCTTTTCAGTAATATTATATTATATTACATGTAACTGATTGATTAATTTTTTTCTTTGAGTTTTGTTGAGATGTAAAATATCACATCGTATTTTTGTTATATTGGATGTTTCATTCTTTGAATCGTAAATACGTATGTCTATGTTAAGATCTCGTGAAAATCGCCTAAATTAATGCTTGAGAATCTTGGTGCTCTGTTGGGCACCTGAGATCTTAAATTAAGTTTTGCATACGTGTGTGTTGACAGCCTTACCTAGTATGTGCCTGATGTAGTGTCATGTTGTGTATACGTGTGTGTGTCGTTGTGTGTGTGCATCGTTGTGTGTGTTTGTTTTTTATCACAATGTTTTATTATACAATCTATATAATTTCCAGTGTTTGATGTTTTTTGTAATATGTAGCCTTGTTAGTGCTGTTCTTAAAAAAAACTACCACTGTAATATATAGTGTGTTGTGTGTGAGAGTGTAATACCACTGTAATATACGGTGTGTTGTGTGTGAGAGTGTAATACCACTGTAATATACGGTGTGTTGTGTGTGAGGTGTATTACCATTGTACTGTATGGTGTCATTGTTATGTGTTGGGGTTCAGTGAGATTCTTGTGCATTAACCTTTTTTCGTGTATTTTTTTAATATATTTCTGTCATTTTGTATCGCACTGTTTTAAATAAAATAAAAAAATACAAATATTAATAATGAATACCTCATACGGGAATTAGTTCATGCATTGTTTAGTGTGTACACAGACATCTGTTTGCTAACAACTCACGAAATAGCAATAACACGATTGCAAACAAATGATGGAATGAGTGAGACTTGAACGCATGACAAGTGAGTTCTAAACTCACAAGCCAGTGAGTGGTTTACAAGCCAGTGAGTGGTTTACAAGCCAGTGAGTGGTTTACAAGCCAGTGAGTGGTTTACAAGCCAGTGAGTGGTTTACAAGCCAGTGAGTGGTTTACAAGCCAGTGAGTGGTTTACAAGCCAGTGAGTGGTTTACAAGCCAGTGAGTGGTTTACAAGCCAGTGAGTGGTTTACAAGCCAGTGAGTGGTTTACAAGCCAGTGAGTGGTTTACACACTGACCTGTGAGATTTAGGACTGACTTGCCACTTGTTCATACCTCACTCCTGGTCACTGACTCACTAATGTGACATAACAAACTGAGCATATCATGTGATAAAATATAAACTGGTAAGTGGAAGTAACTGTATATACAAACAGTACATATCAAGTGTATAAGATTCAAGCTGGAAAGTTTTTGTACATGTTGCATATACAAACTGTCACTACTAAGAATAATACACAAATAACCTGCACACAGGAGAGAGGAGCTTACGACGACGTAAGTGTATGACTTTGTAAACAGTCCAAATCGGACCGAAATGTGGTAGTAAGCTCTACTCTGCTATGTGTGGATAATTTGTGTATTGTTCCAGTCACCGTATTGTGTCTGTTTGCACTTTACCAAGCATAAGATAACAGTAGGAAAGCAGGAGCAGTGATAGCAACTTGCAACCATCGCCAGTCCCTGATGAAGATAGCCAACACTCCAGTCATTACTTCACCAAGTGTAGTTGATATCAGAATGATGATCCCACAAAATGTTCGCCATTTAGCACCAATAAACTCTAGAGCTGGAAGAAAAGGAAATAAAAAAATAATTACAGGTATTCATGAGTATTTCTGCCTTGCAACACTTTGCAGTGAAACATTTTCCAGTGATTATATAATCTTTTGCATTAATTTTTTAATAAGAAATCAAGAATGTTTACATCTAGTAAACTGTATCCATGTGGAAATTTATATGTATTAAAAAGTATTTAACGAAAGAAGCATAAGTATTGGAAAAAGCATAATTCTTCAATTATAATACATTTAATTAGTTATTTTTTTAATTAATATAAACTCATAGGTTATAGTAATTTTGGATTGATTTAGTCCATGAATATATATACACCGTGAGATGTATATTTATGTTTATATGTGCTGAGAGTTTACTTAAATTCTGTCACTAATTGTTATAATATTTCTTGGATCATTCGTCTCTCAACCCTTGAGTGGAGAGGACGTGTGCTGCTGCTGCCCCCTGGAGTTGTCTGGTGTCTGTTGGCAGTATTATTTTCACAACATGGTGCAGGCTAGCAGGCGTCGTATCAATACTGTCTGCACTGAATTAACCAGTGGAGCTGTAATGGGGCCATCAATGTAGTTACTTCTGCCTGCAATAATTAGAGTTACCTACGGAATAGCCAATGAGGAGATTTGTGGACTTGCACTGAACGGTACGAAGAGGATTTTTGTAAAATTCAGCTCAGCGAATGTGTATGAGGCAGTGGTGAATGAGTTTCAGGAAGTGGCTGTGACGGTGAGGATGCATGATGTATCAAGCTATTACACATGGGTTAAGATCAGGAATGTGCCGTTCGAGGCGGATGCATCTGACATCCAGTTTGCTATGTGTAATTACGGCACAATACATATGGTCACTGCAGGAAGGGGGTCAGCCGGCCAGTATATGGGGATACCTGAGGGTACTTACTCTGTCAAGACGACGCTCAGACATCCTATTCCATTGTACATGGTGATGGAAGATTTCAGAACAAGGACCAGCAGCAATGACGTGATGGGGAGGAAAGGAGAGAGGATCTAGATCAGCCGTATTCGACACTGCCTCAGCAGAGTTTGACATGGAGTGAGGAGGTTGAGATAGCCGAAGAAAAGGAGACGGCAGGGGCTATGCGGGGGGATGACATCACTTCCCTGGACATTGTACAAGTGCTGGATGAGGTTATCGCGGAAGTGAATGGCAGCGATGCGGAAACGTCGATAGTGTCGACGTTTGGAAACATTTTGGGCAATGAGCGTCCTTGCCTGGATCTTGGGTCTGTGGTTGGGGAGGGCGTGGTGATGCCAGCTCGGCCTGAAGTGTGTGATAAGGACGCCCTGTTGGTGAGAACTGTGGAAGTGGAGGTTCATCATGGCACTGCGCTGGATGACTTGACGCAGGTCGAGGGTAATATAAACACAAATGCAGTATAATGTGATCCTTTATTGACTACGTTTCGCCCACACAGTGGGCTTTTTCAAGTCACAAACAGAACTACCTGGGGAGGAAGGAACGCGAGTATTTATAGTCCGGCTGAGGTCAGGTGAAGAATGCTGCATCTGATGATGTACCGAGTGGGGTTATAGAGTCTAAAAACTTGGGTAGCGTAGAAAGGAGATTGGATAAGTTTGTGAGCAGACCTTCTACAGTGTTCTTATGTGGGATAGCGATGAAGAAGTTTCTTGGCAAGTGGTTCAGCTATGTTATAGAAGCCACTATTCTGGTTGAAGTTGTCGGATATAGAAATAAGTGATGATTCCAGGATTCTTCGGTATTGAGTGTTGTCTTCTGTGGCGATAAGTCTTGAGTTTCTGTAGTTTATCAAGTGGTTGTGTGAATTACGGTGTTGTACGCAGGCATTCCTTGTGTCGTCAGATCTGCTTGCGTATTGGTGTTCTGAAATACGTGTTTGGAGGTCCCTTGATGTTTCGCCCACGTATAACTTGTTGCAGTCGTTACAAGGGATTATGTATACCCCTGCAGAGGATGGAGGCTTGTCCTGCCTACTACTTGTGATGTCCTTGATGGTCGTGGTTGTGGAGGTAGATACTTGGAATGATGTTTTGGCAAAGATGTTGGAAACATGTTTGGCAATGGAGTTGGTGGGAAGGACTATGTATCTCTTCTCGGCAGTGTCTTCTCTGGGTGTGTTGAAGATGTTTAATGCTCGCCGTCTGCAGTCTCTGATGAAGTGACGAGGATAGTGGAGTTTAGAAATGGATCCTTCACACAGAGAATACCTGGACCTTCTTCTAAAAGCTTACTCACTTCGCAACAGACACAATTTTCTTCGTGATTGCATCCAAGAAATGGTCTTACCAAGATCTACTCCTCCTCAAATTGCCAACATCAAACCACCTTTCTCCGATACAGCTCGGACCTACCTTGAAGAGTGTGCAGATGACTTAAAAACAATGCTACAAAGGAAGCTTTCCTCCAAGCCAGAACACTAGGCACAACACTCCGGGGCAACATGAACAGACGCACCGCCGAAATCATTCGCAGCAGAGTTACCACAGCGAATGTTCAACAGAAGATCAGACTTACTAGGAAACTACAAACACTCTGTGGGAAGGTGGGAGACAGCGTTTACTGAGGGATACTTGAGTTTTAGGTTAAAGGATTTACGGGATTTAAGTGTAAAGTAAGGGGTAACGGCGGGCTAGTTTCTTGAGTGAGGATGTGTGGATCGCTTTTAGGGTGTGTGGTTGGATTTGTCCTAATACATTTATGCTTTTCCTGTGTAGCGAGTGTGGTGTGGGTAGTGGTATTACACATATGTGTTCCCTTTATGTTGTGAAGGTTTTGGATAGTACATGTACGTAGTGTATTAGAGCAGTAGATCATTGTGTGCATATAAGGTGAGTGGAAGGGTAGAATCTTACAGTATTTGTGTGTGTGAGAATGACTGTTCGTTATTGTGAGAGTGTCTTCAAAGATGTTATGGAAAGCACATACTACATGGTGTTACTAAGGTATGCCATATGACTGTTTAGAATATGATGTGATACAAAGACCGGGGTTTCCCTTCTTGTAGGAAGCATTCTGTATGGCACAGTACCTGTATATTGGAAGGCTCAGAAGTGTAAAGAGCTGTAATGAGCAACGTGGTACAGTATTTAATTAATATTATGTGAGATTGCATTTTGGCACATAAGGCCTAACATATAATGTTTCAGAGGCCTGGTTAAGATTATATAGTACATGTCGTGTGACACTGTATATGCAGGGTAGTGTTATATATTTTAAGTACACGCTGTTTGTTTCCCTTTGCTATTTTAATGTTTCAAGTGTCTGTAAGGTAATATAAAAATGTATATTGATTTTGTGTAAATCCAGTAGCGGTGTATGTCATGTATTAATACTGCTATAGGGTATATAGTGTATGAAGAAATCTTGGGTGGATTGTACCCGTGTTGAGATATAGAGTATATTCTCATAATTGTTACTTAGAGCAAGTAGTATCCTGCGCTCTTATAGTATGTCATTGTTTTGTTGGTATTTGATGAGGGGGGTACCTTTTTACTTCCAGAGCACATATGTACGACTTAATAAATGTACCTTTGCTGGGGGGGGGGGATGTGTAGGTTTTAATGGTATGTGAGGCTTTTACCTTAAAGAATTGTTTTGCATATAAAACTTGGCATAAGATGTATAAGTGTGCTGGAGTAGATTCTCTGGATATGTTGTTGGTACACTTTTGTGAAGCGTTCCTTTTTCTTTTTTGGATTGTGTAAAGGTATGTTGTACTTTAATTTGTTGGTCCATGTCGATTGGTTTAGTGACATATGTTTGCTTCCATGTATAATGTATACTGTATTTTAAATAAAATATAAAAAAAAATTCTTGGATGATGGTAAACAGGTGATTTACAGCCTGAATGACCCCTAGTGTAGTCGATTAGATTTAAATCCCCATTATCCAATGATTTAGTCATTAACTTTTATTTATCATTGTAAGAAACAATTAATACTATATATGAAGGTTATATATGACATTCTTGACAGTCAGTATTGTTTTCTACATAGAACAAGTAAGTGACTTATAAAACGATGAATAAACTGTATTCAACAGACATTACATCAGATATGTTAGTGTTATAATATCGATATCTTACCTTATTAAAGTACAATTCAAGAGTTTCACAATCACAATACAGCTTGACAAATCTTTCCAGAGAAAGTATAATTGAACTACTTTGAGCCCAGCCAAGCTTATGAATATTAGGAGAGTTAAACTTTTAGACATTAAACTCTGAATATGACATTCAGCAGGCATGTCACGATTATTCGAATTAAACCACATCTCAGCTATGGCAAATACATCAATGTTACCTGCACTAGTAACTAATCTCAACTCGTTCATCTTATTCCTAGCACTACGAATATTAGTGTAAAGTATGTTTAAAGAGCCTCCTTTCTCTTTGCCCTTCCTGCTAATTTCTGTTTTTTCACTATACCTATTACTGCCTCTGTTATTGTTAAGATTTATGATATCAAAGCCTAAATCAATGTTACGACACATTATTTTCCATTTCTAAACCCATATCTCTAACTAATCCTAGTTTAAATCCCTAACAACCCCCTCAGCTGAGCTAGCAAGAAAACCCACACCTGCCCTGGATATGTGAACCCCATCCTTGGCATACATGTCATTTCGGTCATAGAAGTTGTCCCAGTTGTCAATGAATGGTACTGCATTATCTTTACAGTGTTTGTCCAGCCAACAGTTAATACCAATTGCTCTGAACAACCATTCATTTCCAACACCCCTTCTTGGCAAAATGCCACATATAACTGGGCGCCTCCCTTCTTCCTAATTGCGTCTATTGCTCTCCTGTACCTTCTAACTAAATCTTCGCTTCTACACTTGCTTACATCATTGCCTCCAGCACTGAGGCAGATAATAGGATTGATAGCATTACCGTTCACGATGTTGTCATGCCAGCTAACAATATCCTCCAACCCAGTCCCAGGAAAGCAAACCGTCTGTCCCCTACTCCTGTACTTCATACAGAAGGCCCTATCC